TGTTTCGCTTATTAAGGAGAGTTCCCTGCACGTTGTGGATTCAAGCAAAGCAGATTCTTCAGAGAAAGTAATTGTATCATTTTTTAGACTTATCCTGACAAGTAATCATTAGCAAACGTTCTAGTCGCCTTCTGACATCACTTGCTGTCAACCACGTCGACAGCTTCTGCGAATCACTCGCTATTGGCCGCTCCGTGCAGATCGCTGCTATATCTACAACATTCCTAAGGTTAATATTCGCTGCGATAACGGAGGTTTGGTTGTAATGAGAGCCAGTAACAATCTTCTTTATAGACTATCAAATCAGATTTTCTAAAAGGAAGAGTTGCTGAAACTGAATAGAGCTAAAAGATTAAGAAAAAATGGCGAATTTTGAAGATTCGTTTGCATTTTGTTGAGGCTAATATCTCAAACCCTTGCAAATTACAAATGCCTACGTTATTTTATTTGTAATTTGATTCTGCAGCGATTCGACGCGCTTTTTGCCATCATGCGACAACCACAACTGTCCACAGTTGATGCAGATAAGTGTAAACAGGTGCGTGATGATTTGCCTCACTATTATGATATTATGATTACTTACGATCACCTCTGTTTAAGGTAGTCCATCAGCTGGTAGCTCTAAAAGACTCCAGAGATCGCATAGGCGAACCAAATATTTCATCTCAACTGTTGAAAGATGGAAGCTCCAGGTATCTTGATTATTCTTCATAGAGTGCGCATATATTCTGCGCCGTAATGCTTTGATTTGCGAAAGCTCCTATATCTACATATTAGTTCTTAATCGCCTTTAAATACACTCTGGGTTAAACGTTCACCGCATGTTTGCGATTTAGAGGATGGTGGTAGGGCCTATTTCAAATCTTGCTGCAGCCACCCATCGGTAGTGCGTCACTTGGATAAAAAATTGTTTTATGCGTATTTTAGTTGAATCAAATACAATTCCAACAATGAGGATAAAAAAGGAAGATTACTTCTGCATCTGAAGTCAAACTCAAAGCTTGATTAAAAATAATTTGATAATATCGTAAAAACATGAAGTCAACTTTCTTTTTTTTGCGTGTAATTCGCTTTTTCCATACATGTACGGTTCTTACTTAAACAGGAGTCTTTAAATCTAACTTTTACTAAACCAGATTTTTCATGTAACTCCAAGTTATTGTACTGTGCTTTCAAGTGACTTTCTCTTCAAAAGCGGACTTTGAAGAATTCCAAACTTATCTTTATTTTTTAGGGAAGAGCAATTGAAAATAATCTATTTGGAAATGGTCAGACATCTGGCAAATTATATGAACCATTCTGAAAAACATTCCGAGGTTAGTGCTCTTCTAACACCAATAATTCTTTGCATTTATATTTATTCTTTCATATCTTCTACCTCTTCCTGCAAGCGACCGGTCTGGAGCGTTCCGTGAAAATGTCCACAGCCGATGTGACTGTAGTTGATCGCAGTCGGTGAGTAGTACATCTCAAATAGCCCACATACGCAAAAGTTTTCATTATCTTGAACTCACCTCAGTATAGATAAGAGCACCACTAAATAGACATAAGAATCTGCCTATCTAGCCCATGTTTCATGCATTTGTGACCATTAACGCGGTGTAATATAAACGCCACTTTCAAGTATTAGCGAAGGTTAGAAGAGCAATTTTTTCTGATTACAGAATGAAACGACAAGAAGCGTCTAGTTCCAATTTTGCTGTTGCATCTGCGTCCGCAATGTCATCGGCTGCAAGCGAAGTGCGAAATTTGAGCAGAAGCAATTCTCCACTGCCTAAGAAACCTCGAAAATCGATTTACCTCTGGAAGCCAAACGGTGTGTGGAAAACATAAATTTTGAATTTGAAATTATGTTATAGCAAATGTTTTCTAATTGTTTTACTACTATTTTCTACCACCTTTTGGAAATATCAGCTGCCCTGTTTCAGAAACTTTGAATTTGTATGAGTACCTCATGGAAAAGGAAGAACGCCATCA